TTTGTGCAATACCATATGGAACATTTTACTCCTTTATGTATTGTTATGTGCCGTAACTCACGTCATTAGTTTATCTTACATCTGGAGCAAAAGTATTCAAAGCAAAAACTACAATAAGTAGTTTAGCCCGACTAGTCGTCTAAAACCCTATTTACCGTTATGAATATTTTCCTTGAACCTTTCAATCCACTTGCGATCATAAAAGTAAAACTCATAAAGTGAAACTCTATCTTAAAGGTTTATTGCTTCCAATCCTGTTTTCCTATCCATTTTTTATTTTACTTACTTTTTATTTTTTATCTCATAACCCTACTATCTGATTATTTTACTTAAAACCGCTCTAATCCCGATTTTCGATATTAAAACAAGTAGTATCATTGGACTATGATCTTTCTTGAAATGTAGCTTTAAATTCAGTCATTTCTTGGTCGTCTTTCAAAGTGCGAACCCTAATAGCACAACATATCCGAAAGAAATATTCAGCGGATATCCATTCGAAGAGGACATTCGAACATCTTCAGGATGTTCTCTGAACGTTTTCTTGTGTGCTGTTAGGAAACATCTTCTACCTTAAGCAGTTAAATAAAGTCTTCATATTAGACAATTGCCTGATTTTTACTTTATTCAAATATTACGCGGCTTCTTGCCCGTAACAGCATAAGAAAGCTTGACAAGTATTTGGACATCGAAGAGATTATTACGTTTATTCATGATTTTCGTGATGAATCGATAAAGGTATGTGTGCTATAAACGGCAAGGTTCCACGCGCGCGCGCTTACTTACACACTGTAAAGCCAACACGCATATGCGTGCAGTGGTGCACCACAAAAGGGTGTAAAGGTTATTGCTCTTGAGCCGCCGTATGGATACAGGGTCGATCGCCTTTCGACGTCGTTGTTTCCAATATAAATTCCTCGAAGTATCCCAGATGTTTCTTCGAAATTTTTGAAGAATATACCACATGATCGATTACAAATCGATAAGAACTACTTTGCGGTATAAGAAACGAGAGAAGCAGTTTCAATTTATTAATTATTCACAAGTTGCACATATAGAAACCTATCAATTAAATATAAAATTAAATTTCATCAAAATTTTTTATCGTTGTTGATTTCATCGAACGTTAAATTAAAAAACTTTCGGCATTTTAGACAAATATTGAAATTTTTTGCACATTAATAATAGAACCACTGATCACAAAAGTGCACGTGTTGCACCCCTGCTGCGAGACATGGGTGGAGCCATCTACTCGTTTCTGCGCGAAACAGCTCTTTATATTTGGTACAGTATATTTATAATTTTTTGCCAATTTACGTTATCCATGTTATAATGACATATTTATATTAACAATATATTGTGTTAACAAATATTACATAAAAGGTTACGCATAAATAGAGAAAATTTCAATTTATGTAGAGCTTATATATTTTCTAAGATTCGTGAAATGGAATTTTGTTTCGAATATATTGTTAAGTAAAAGAGAGATAGTCGAATAGATATATGTATGTAGAATCTGGAAGTCAATTGCAAGACTCATTGCAACGATGACATTCGTGAAATGCACGCCATGGCAACAAAACTATAGTAATTAATCATGCATTGTTTTCGCGCATTATTGTACATCGTCGGTTTAGTGGAAAACCAAGTTGTCGTTTGTGGTGAACAAAGAAGACGAGACCAAAATAGCGTCTTACGACGACTCTTAACCTTCTCTCTTTTGAATTCTCGTTAAGCATCGGCATTCACAAAAGTTTCCAAACGAGCAGGATCGTCGATCTTTCCCAAGGTTTGCATGCTATTATCATCGCGAACTTTGCGGTCGTAATTTCATAGGATAACGTCTTGGATGCTCCTCGATCTATAGGGCGATAATAATTCATTCTGTCCACTTTTTCTTTCACGATCTTCTTGCGAGGCAGGTATTCGCCGATTTTCGGCGAATATTAAAATAGCGACGAGACTAATGAAGTATGTGTTAAATTAATCGATCGAGAATTTCTCGCAAGAATTCTCGGTTGTAGCCTTCTAGTAATTCATCATAAAAGGTGATATCAGCAGTGAAAAAAGAGATTCAATTTTTATTTAAGCATAAATTAAAAGGAAACTGAAAATATATTTTATTTTTTTCAAATAAATATTTATGACTTGTAAATTTCTGAACGTAAACGTATTTTATTTATTTCGTCTGTTGTAAATTTACTTCCATAAACTGTTTCTCTACTATGTTGAAAAGTTTCTCCACCATTTGACAAACAAAATAAAAAATTATGAATATTTAAAATAATTATATTGTTGTAGATATGAGGTGTATATCATCTGTCAAATTCAGTTATTACTTATTATTATTCAACTATCAAACTATCAAACTATTCAATTATCTCGATTTGACTGCGCGTGTCTTCCGGCGATAGGGTTGAATTACCAATGTTGGGTGCATGCTTACAGTGCGCTTTGTTGCGACAGCCGACAGATGGCTGGTCACAGTAGCTCGTTGGCAATATGCACGTGCATCCGCACGCCTCTCGTGGACTCCCACTCTCCGTCTACCAACCCCCGAAACCCACCAGCGGCGTCGGTGACGTCAAGACGCATTGCGACATATCGCGCTACCCCGCTTCGCATCCCCTTTCGTCTCTGTCCACATTGAAGGCGCGCTTTTTAGCTCGTGCCTGAACTCGCTCTTGCACCCGTTTGAAAGATCATGCAATGAATGGACACGCATGGTTGTATTATATATATATGTATATACCGATCGTCTTAGCATCAGCTTTGGTTGGTTATTTGAATTGTGGTACTAACAATAAATCATTTTTACTGAGAAAAATATGCTGACTTTATTTAACCATTAATAAAGATACATATATATATATATATATATATATATATATATATATATATATAAAAAATCAATATCTGACGAAATATAAACACTTAAAATATAAGAAGCATATACATTTTTTTAAGCTAATGTACTTTTATTTCTTTGTTACAGGTAAGTGAAGCTACTAAATTTTATTCGTACGTCGAGACACACTAGGGTGAGTCGTATACATTTCTTGCATAATTTTTAAGGATGTATAGGAGAAATCCAAAATTTATAAAAATTATATATAGATTGTCTGCGGTTTTAAATATTAAAACTGCTGTCCAAATTTGGATTTAATGTATTAACTCATTTAAAAGTTATTGCAATTTAAATTCCTGTTAGTTTTATACATAATTTTATAAATTTTATACATAATTAATAGCTTGTACTATGTTAAAAATATCAAGCAAATAATACCATATATTTAAATTTTTTTACATGTATAACTGGAACTTTTGAGAACAATGTCGTAAAATTACTTTAATATTCATTAAACCTTTTAGAAGAAAGTAATAATATAAGTAGTACTAATATAAGTAGTAATAATATAAGAAAGTAATAATAATTGATTGAACTCTGGCTCTCTCCGAATTATCAAGCATTCGGTTATGTCAACACTAGAAACAGCTGAGAATTAGGAAATAAAATTATAGCGGTTTTCTAAGATGTATATGTGTGAATTGCTAGCTTTTGTTTTTGTATGTATCTCTAGAACATCATTAAATAATTCTCACATAGAAATCATAATTTGACAATAAAGGTTCAAAAGATCAAGTGTTTGGATTTTGATTTGAAATCTGAAACAGTCACATTTTACGGATTAAATATGATGAGAAAGTATCGGCAGGACACGCGCAGGGGTAGAAGTTTTTGCATTGCGATCGATCGCGCGCCGACTGCATCCGGCTAACGTCATTGTCGTGCAAACGTGACCAAATTCTGAGTTTCCTGCTCCTGGTGGAAATTGCAGCGGCAATTTCATACTTACGCGTGCGTATACCGCTCAGTTGCCTCCCGTTGCAGTCTGCATTGCGCCAGTGCGTAAAGTGGACGACCGATCCTGATTATCGAGACACAGCATCTCTATTGATCTTTTGAAATTAATCTTTTTCTTTAATTCAGCTTCTACAAATTGGGCGAGTCGATTAATCTTACCAAATTAACGATTAGAAAAAAAAATATCGTGTATTTCAATTTTTTCTATATGTATAATTGGAATTTTAGAGGATAATATTGCAATAATAAGAAAGAAAAGTTCGCCCATTTTTATAGGTGTTTCTGGGTCCTCCGGTCTCAGAGATGAGACTATGCCAAATTGTAGGACATCATAAGAGGATTGGAAATTATAGATGCTAATATCCAAAACACTCATCGGTCAATGTTATGACGTGTTCAATATTGGTGTATAAAGTGCATTCATTTTTGTGTCTATGTTTACACGATGCTTTCTCGCTTGCAATAAACTAATGATTTTTTCATTTTATAGTTGAACATGACTTTTACAGAATTCTTGTTTTTGTATTTATCCTTTTCTAAAAATTTTTTCTACATCCAAGATATTTATCTCGTGGAGGTGTCTTGGATGTAAAAATGGTGCTCGTGCCGTAGATTGTTGTTTCTATATTATTTGTTATCTAGAATATGTTAAATATCTTTCAGAAGATATATAGATACTTTCTAAGCACAGTAATGACGTATTTGGACAGCTCTGATAGTGAGCCACCAAACGCATAAATGATATATTTAGGAGGTCAAAATTACTTCGGGGTTTAAAGATCCAAAACTATTTTTTTAATATTATCATTATTATTTACAAAATTATATATGTAATAATTGGGCCAAAATGGGAGAACTTCTTTGTCGTTAAAATTCAACTTTTGAATAATTATCTCATACCATTTTGCTGAAAATAGATATAAATATAATTTTAACTCTCTTTACACCTCGTATTCTCAATATGAATTATGGCCAAGAGTTTTTGTGAAAAGAGAATTTCTATAAAAGATTTCGACAATACATAAAGAATTGAGTGAAAAAATTATACAAATTAAAGTTGTTTAAATTGAGATATTTGAAAATTGACTTAAAAGAACTATATTTATGCTTCAATTATTTGTACTTCAATCATCTAAATAATTCATGTAAATAATGCGTATTCCAAGAGGCCGCATATATATCTGCACAATTAAATTTCCAATTATTCATGCCACGAAGAAACAGGATGTAAAATAATATGCGCGCTAATTACGTTCGGCATAGGTACTTTATTACTTATGAATAGGACATGAAAATTTTGCAGACATATTGCGGAAAACATTCATCCTCTTGGAAATATTTTATAGATGTTCATAAAAGCCACAAGTATATAGATATGTATAAATTTTACGATATGGCATCGTAAGCTGAGATATTTATAGCGAAAAGATGATGTCGCGCGAATACTTTCTTAATTTACTGCAATTCTTGGCGAACAGCCCTGACGTTGTGTGTTTAGCCGTTTGCAGACGAGACATTACCTTCGTTTCCAAAATACACTGTCATACCGCCTGCCATAACGTGGGGCGCATTCTAAGGAACTATATTGATTTATTATTTGCTTATGATTCAATCAGACATTAGATTTTTCGAATTGCTTTTGACGTGTACAATTGACTATGTTTAACATTTGTTAGCACTTTGCCAATTGAATTGAAAGATTTCCTTGTAGAATACATCACAGTAGATATTCTGTGAAAGAGAAAAGAGAAAACAAAGGACGTCGTACAATTAATCCTAGCCAAAAATTAAGGCATCATATGTTTATTCATAAAATCGATATAATTCAGTGAAAGTTATAATATCACAGAGCAATTACTATGCGATATTTTCGCAAAAAAGACCAATATTTCTCAAGTGGTCAGTAACTAAGCATTCCAATTCGTCTCGGTTCGTTGCAATATCGAGTTTCCAACATCTTGTCTCTCGCAATTGATCACTCTCTTCCTCCTCTGTGGTAAATTAAATTAATTAAACCTCATCATGGTCTGAGATGTGCGAAGGTGCTACGGCCGATTTCTGTAATTTGAAAGATCCCATTTGGTGGTCTTGTCCAGTGTCACTCGAAGTAAATTAAGGGCAGAGGATATAGATAGAAATAGAAATACGTGGGTGGGGAAAACGAGAGCAAAATATGAATGACAAATGGCAAATTTCAAATAAATTAAATAAGTCTGAATTACAGGTAATTGATCGATCTCAGGAAAAGGTATTACATATGACATTACTTCTTTTTTACTAGTTAAGCTATTTAGATTTATGTATTAATAATTGAAATACCATTTTTCTGTGCATATTTTAAGCGGATGTCGAACAATCTCATACAATGTTAATTAAAATCATTTCCTCTTCGAATAATTAATTTCCGTTCTATTAATAATTATCAGCTATCGATAGGCAATACATATTCAATTTTAACTCTGGCGAGTCGGCGATTCGGAAACGTACGTAAAGCTCGCGGTGTATTTTTAACATCGAGATGCTCTCGTCTGTGAAAGTGTCTCCTCTGGTAGACTACATTTTGGAGAGCATAATCGCGTTTAGTATTGTCGCTCGATGGCGAAAGCTCGATCTACATACATGACAAGGTGATCGATTAAAATTCGTTCTACGCGAAAGAAATCGATCTACCGATGTGATTTGATCAATAATAAATGCTCAATGTGTTTAGGTGCGAATAAGTTCGTGAAATTTACATTATGATTTGTGAGAGTTCGATCTGGGCGTATGCGGAACGGAAAGATTTTCGATTTTCGATCGATCGATGTAATTTATTGATACGATGACACTTCGATCTGCATGAAATCTTCCGATTGTAACAATTTTTTTTTCAAATTTACATATGTGATTTGAGGTGATGACAAAGATTTAAAGTGTGCTTAAAAAGCGTGACAATTCATGCCAAGTATTGGTGATTTATCTCATACGGATTTCATACAATCCAAAGAATTAATGATTAGAGATTCACACAATGCATGCTGGTATCAGGAGCACGTTTCTCGGGATGAGGATATTTCCGCGCCGGAGACGAAAATCGCCCGACCATGGGAGAAGGTAATCATTGTCTGATGCGACTACTAATTATCTCCGTTCGGGTTGTGGAACATTTGCTTAATTGACAAATTAGATCGTATTCTGTGAAAGAGAAGTTGTTAGACAAATAAAGAGTATTACTGCTGATTGATTTCTATTCACGAAACGCTACTTAATGTACATTATAGGAGATCTAATTTGATTTTTTAATCAATAATAAATATATGATAGACTTTGTGCCTATATGTGTATTTTTCGTATAAGTTATCTGAAAATGCTTGTAAAGCGAAAACATTTTGTATTATTCTATAAATGTTTTTTGCGAAGATTGGATGATTCAATCTGTCATTAAATATCAATTATATTTTTTTAATTTAATATACATTAAATATTATTGGACACATAAATAGATGATAGTACAAGTTATTAGGCTATGTGCGATAAACTCGCTTCTGACAAACTCGTGCCATCTGACGCAAGCTCGTGGAAGTTGATGAGTAAGCAGTCGGAAACTTTGTCTCTGGGGTGTTTCGAGATAGTATCAAAATATTAAAAGTTTTTTTCGATACCGCAGGATTATTTTTTCGTATTGATACTGCTGATGCATTTTAGGAATAGTAGATTTTAAGTAGTGCTGAATAATTCCGATGTATTGACACACACAATATTAAACTCTGAACAAATGAAAGATATCGAAAGATAATGAAAGATTTCTTTTTGATATAGCTTTTGTTTCTTTGCACATTCTGTTTTTTTTTTCGTTTTTGTGTTAAAGCTTCACATTGATATTCTTATGCGATATAATAATTTGAAAATATTAGGTATGTATCTTATTTATAGGAATTTATTTGTATATTTTGCTGGCGATGTTTCTTTCTATTGACATATTCTATTTAAACACTGTACGAGTAAATTATGTCAAATTAGAAGGGCTTTATTCATAGATGAAGATGTATTTGCGTACGTTAGACATCGCGTTAAAATAGATGAGCAAAGTATATTTAGATAGGTCATCGCGTGAATTTATTTAATATTTTGACGAGTTGATTTAATAATTTGACAAGCATTTGGTTGACGATAAAATGAATTAATTCGATCCTTTAAATACTTCTAGTTTTGAGACTTTAATATATTTGAGACCCATAATATATATAAGGACCACAACCCAAGAAAGCTCAATATCGGAGTTCTCAGTCCTGAAGATGCAAACTGCAACGTTTGCGAAACGTCGGCATTACGCTGTTAAATCACGCGGCATCCATTCGGAAACCTTTTGCATTGACCTTTAGATACTTCTTCATTAATAGGTATTTTTTCATTAATAATCAATTACAAGAATAATCAGAAAAAATTTAAAATTAATTTTTTTAGATTAGTAAAAAGTTTATTGAGATTATATTGAATAGCGGAAAGATAAATAAACAAGATTTTGCATAATAGATTTTGATTGCAATTTCAATTTCTCGTCATGCGTCAATATTCTATATTACTGACTGTAAGTCTACATTTTTTTTAGTTAATCCTTAACTCGTTCGTAATCGATCAATAATATCGCATGTATATTGAACAGAAACTTTAAAATAAGAGCCACCTTGAGAAAAGGGGGCAACTGAACTCCACAATATTGACCGAAGTTGTGAATTGCTTGCAGGTAATCGAGATGATTCTCCCCGCTCTTGTCCGCTTTTTTCCTGAACAAGCGTTTGCTTATTTACATATATTGCATTGTTTTTTTGCAGTCTATACGTCCATTTTAAAAATCTATAATTTTTATATCTACAATTATGTCAAATTAGCGAACAATTAAAATAGAGAAAAAAGAGAAATTATTAGAAAACGAGGAGCTTCACTGCTGATGGTGGTAAAACATATTGTCAGTATTCACGTAAATTAAAAAAAATATTATACATGGACTTCAGGTGATGTTCCATATAAATCTGATGTTGACACCGATATACATACACATGTGTATCTCGTGCGCGTCACCTGCGTCACTGTCGATGCATAGCATATCGTGCATATCCGACTAGTAGTGGAATACTAGGACAGGCCAGATCTAGGGTCGCCGACTTGGTCGCGAAGTGTGCGAGTCGCGGCATACCGCTGTCCTATAAACGGTCAACCCTCCGAGAGGTTCTGAAGTTTTCTATTACACGCCGGCTGGCTTATAATGTGCCAATCAGTCGAGCATCCTTTTTTTCCCTCTCTTTCTGTCCCTCGCGAGTAGATATTTAACCATTATTCTTAATCATCGTCGTAGATTCAAGAAACCATCACCCTTCTAGATTTAGATCTACACAAAATACTTGAAGATGCGGCGATTTTTTTTCTTTCTCTCTCTCTTAAGTATTCTTTGAAATGCTTTTAATATATTGAATCAAAGTTTCGAAGGCAACGTAAAAAATACAAGTAAGTTAATCACATTCTGATGCTGATTTAATGTAATAAAAGAAAAAAGTTCTTTGAGACTTTTCCATCGACCTTTAGCCAAACCGATTCGATTATGTGGCACATCGAACTATCATAAATCAAAGGCGAATGCATTATCTCATAGGCGGTACCGGCGCGTTCCATTTCCTAAACCTACGCCGGCATTGACGAGCGTCGTTTACGATACGACACGACACGGATACACACGCGAGACCGCGGCAGCAAGTCAGAAAGAAAGGAAGTGAACGCGGCCGACCAGCTGACCAACCACGGATACGCCTTCGGGTGGTTGCCATAAGTTGTGCAGGTCATGCACGACGGGTCAGGAGAGAGAAGTCAGTTATACCAACGCCGTGCTACTATTCGCGTCAGTGATTGGTCGAGTCTGCGGGAAACTTCGTTTTCAAGAAATATCAAACTCGAATTGCTCGCCGCGTGAATTTAACGTGTGCGCGAAGAAGCTGACCTAGACGAAGGGCCGGAAACTCACGAGAAAGCTCTGTGCATACGTATTATCTTCGGATAGCTTTTTCCGTCACGTCACGACGGGTGGGTAGATCAAATAATCGGTACGAGAGTAAGAAACTGTCTGAGATAGATATTTTTGGTTAGACGAATAGTCGGTTTGATTGCTTGATGTGTATGTGATGATTGTCTTCAGATGGTACGAGCGAATGTTATGATGTAGAAGTGAAAAAAGCGAAAATATATCAGAAGAGAGCATAAAGAAAAAAATAGTTTCAAGAACGTGTATAAAAAAAGAGGATTATTTAAAGAGGATTAGATTAAAATTTCGTTAGTCTTAATAACAAAAAATCACATGGGTAATGATAAGATGGCGAAATTTATTTTTATCACATAGGAATTCATTTCTCACTTCATTGAGCAGCTAATAGTACTCCGAAACTATTAAGAGACTCTCCTGATTGATTATTTGCTTCTGTTTGAGCTTGCGGTAGTCAGGCTTGTTGTAATACATCAAAGAGTCCTTGTGGAGTTCATCTCTCTCGCTTTGAGTACACTTTGGATGAAAGTATTTTCTTCTTTCATCGACCGCTTATATTCTAAATAGGGGTAGGTCTCGATTCTCAACAAATCACAAACAATTCGCGGGAAAATTAGTGTTATAAAATCGCAAAATTAACGATATCGAAAAGTATAAAAATTGGTAACAACAGTGTTATCTTTATAAAATATATAATATATATATGTATATATATATATATATATATATATATATATAATATTAATGTAATATAAAAATATAATATATATACATATATATATATATATATATATATATATATATATAAAAATATATATAAAAATAATATAAAACATATATAAGAGAGAGAGATATATATATACATATTTAATATATCTATACATACATTTGTATATTTTTAAATAACATATAATAGTAATAATGATATATATATATATATATATATATATATATATATATATATAATATACATATAATATGTATAAATTGATTAGCGAGTTTCACTTACAAAGTAGATAAATTAACGTGAATAGCTTTATATGTTTCTAAGAACTATACTTATACTTTATACATATATTTATTTTTTTAAAATAATAAAAAAAAATTCTTGTTTAAGAGTTTAGTTTATTTTTGCTTTGCAAATTTTATATACATATAAGTATATTGCATATATATTGCATTGTGCACATGTATTTTTGAAATTTAATTTATCAGTTTAATTATATAGGTAAAATCTTACAGAAATTACAGAACTACAGAATTACATGTATTATTATTATAATTCTAATTAGAGTTCTTAATTAAGTTGTTATTTCAGTTATATGTAGATTATATTCGTACAGTACATTTTTTATCATCATATGATTAAATTATAGCCAATTGCTAACCATTTTTAAAACCAATCAAAATTTTATACATTTTCAGTCTCATATTAACTTATTTCTTTTGCTTGTTTAGATCCAGAGATTAATTAGTATTATTATGTTACTGAAGTATATTATAATACGTATGTTTTTTTTTTTTAACTAAATAAGAATTGTATATAATATTATTACAGTTACAGTTTTTCTTCAAAGTAATATTGTTTTATTGTTGAACATTTTTTTGTATAGCACGACGCATGATTACGTAGAATATGTCGCGTTTGAATCGGGGTTAGCGTGCCAAGTGAACCTCATTTTCTGGTATTGACCAGGTAGTCATGGTGCCTCGTTACACCGCCATCTTGCAATTGTCGATGGAAGCGTTTCGGCGCGATTCTTTTTCTCGCAATAAATCAGAGAAAATTAGTTAAAAAAATATAATTGTTTGTTTTTACAATTTTTATCACATTGTTAAATGGGAATGAATAGGAATAGCATGAATAGGAATGCATATTTCTGTATGAATGCTGACATGGCTTTCGTTACGTGTCTAACGAAAGGGAAATTTGAAAGATATTATGCTTTTTCAAAGCTCAATAGCTAACGCGAAGGTCTCGTGCAATTCTGTAGATTAATCGCGTTTATCTTCCGTGTAATCGAATGCAATGGTTGCGAGCAAACTTGGGCCGAATAAATTGGCCGACTGCCAACTAGATTAGCAAACTAAGTCCACGTGTTTCACGTCGTCGTAAAACTCACCAGCCATCGGCTGTTTCATTTTGCCGGCAGCTTTTTCTTTCACTTTAAAAGAAATCAATCTCACAATTGAGCATTTAATTTTCATTGTTGTCTTTATGTGCGTATCCGGCTAGCGTTATGCTGCCACCCAGCGACTCGCCCTTGAACTAGAATATTTTGGGGTTGATAGCAGGCATGAATAAATTGCCCATTATCAGTCGGCATCAATGCAATTACAATAAACAATTGTTCGATACATTATCTTTTGTTTCAATCATGTATTTATTTTTATTTGTTTTCTTTTATTTTATAAGAGAAAAAGAAAGGTAGATTTTTCAATGTTATCACATATCATCTATATAACTGTTGTTTCAACAAGGTTTTGAGGATATCGATCAGACGTCCAAACTTATTTCCTCCGACTTAAAAAAAAAACTTTTGCATAATTTAATTCCAATGTCTCTTTTTATTGGAACTGAAAAATAAATAGAAGATTGATGAAAAGATATCTTGCAATTTCTTTTAAATTTTTTTCTTTTTCAAAGGAAGATATTTTTTATTGGGTATCTCAGTAATTCGAAATTTAGATTAATCAGAAGTTAATGTAATTAAACGTTTAACTTATTGTTAGTACTTGGAACAAAATGACCAATTAAAATTTTTTTAATCTACGTTTTGCCTAAATGATTATTTATATTACGCTTATTATTAGTTCTAAAGTAATATGTGAGTGAGGAAAACATATGAGAAAAAAATGAAAACGAAAGATAAAGAGTTGTTTACGAATCACACAACGCAGGAAAGGTTAATTATCTAGAACAGCATGTCGGTCTGTTCACGCAACCTTCTACAGAATCGAGGTTATCCTACTGCCCCTGTTTACTCTGAATGTTACATCCCCGCGACTCGCCTTGACTGTCCATCGACAATCCGACACTTCACTAGCGTCGCGTGGTCTGCGGTGCTGCCACCAAGCTTTCTTCGAAACTTAGGAACATGGTGCGCGGGTGTAAAGGGGGTAGTAGTACGTAAGAAGCGAGGGCAGCGTATTCACGCGAAGGAATTATATCAATCAGAACATTGTGGCATCCGGACTTTTTATTGGTCTCTCCCCGCTAATTTTTATTCTTATTATGAATCTTATTATCTTAACTACGCCATTCAACGATCATTCATCAGATCGATTTATGACAACGGTGGACTTATTCACCAACAATCGAGTGTGTTTTTATTTGCACAATATATGTGAAGTCGTGGTTACGGCTTGGTGTTAACAGGATTTCCTTCCTTTTAATTGAATTCTAGTGATACTCCCCTGTGCGTCTCCTCCAGTCTCGATTCGCTTATCACATTAATCAGTTTCCGTTCTTTTCACTCGATATGCCGTAAACGTGTCGTCACACTCGTCACCACCCAACCCAACCCAACCCAACCCTTTCCCAATTTCTGTACCTCGTTGCATCGCACCTTGTATACGTACCGCGGTGCTGCCATCGCACGGCGTAATAGAAGCGTATCACTAGAACAGTGGGACGCGGAGGGTGTTGCATCGCGTCTTGTCGAGTGAGTCGACACGATTGCGAGACAGAAGTAGGATCTCCAGCATCTCAGCATCAGTGTTGTCGTCGTGCACGTTGTCGTGCGCGTTTTCCTCTTGAGAGCCACTCCTTGTCGTTTTCTTGGTGCGTCCTCTTCCCTAATTTTTGTCCTCGGCCGCGCGACACAATCCTTCCCGGAAATCAGATGAGTGGCGTGTGCGAGTCAGGGTAAAAGGGATAGACAAATTGGTCAGTAGTGGCGTGTGCATGAGGCCGGGCAAGCCGGCGTACCGGGTTCCGTCCCGGCTACGCGGCGGTAAGTTCTCGGACCCTTCGTCGCAGTCATTTTCGTCGCGTTCGCAGAGCGCGCCGCGAACCGGTGATCATAACGCCGAGCGGAAGAAAAGCCGTCAGTCGGTGTTAACTGAGGGCAAGCAAAAGGTGCGCGGGATTGTCGGCAGGGGCAGCCACGGAGGTCGGAGAAGTGGAGTCATCGCGGGTGGCGATTATCGCGGGTTTGAATGGGTGGGCCGGGCGCCGGTAGGGTTACCAGGCACGAGCTGAACGCGGTGCCCCAGAGCCACGTCGGTCACGGGGAACGTGCCCTTGGCGAGCCACCAGCATCAGGCTGCCGCTGTCACCCTCCGGAGCGAGTGTCATCTGACAGTGCCGTCCGTTCCTCCGCTCAGTTACCACCCTCGCCGCCACCGCTTACCTCTTTACATATCGACAACAACAACGGCACTGTGTGCGCTGTCATCAGCGCCAACAACAACAACATCAACACTAAAAATCCGAGTGATCGCAAAGCTAAGAAGGCGGCCGCCATGTCTTCACCGCCGAAACATCGCAGGGGCTTCGACCCCAATGATCCAGCGCTGGAATATCACCGCTATCGTCGAGTTAAGACGAAGCAGCGGTGAGTGCATTCACCTGTGATACCGATTGTTTTCTCTCTCGATCCACTGGAAGGCTGACATTGACAATCGGCTGATTATATCATGCCTAATCCATTCCCTTTTCATATTTTTGTCGTTATGTACATTTTCCTAATCTCTTCCCTATCACTTCTCGATCGCAGGTGGAATTTATTAGCTTTGAGGTTCTTATTTCTTCTTTTTGATATATATATTTTTTTCTTTTTGATATATGTATATATATATATATATATTTTACAAGAGTCAATTAAAGAAATCTTTAGAGTTATATTTAGAGTCTATGTATCTTTACAAACCTATGATTTTATATTTTATTCAACATTTTGTTTTATTTATTTAATATCGAGTTGTGTGAATATATAATTTTTTTTATGAATGTTAATTGTTGTTAAATTTTATCTTTAGTTTAGAGATTAATGAATAATTTATATAATTGTTGACTTAAAACTAAATGACATGCAAGATTAGATTCCATCTGCGAACAGTATTCACACGTGCCGATTCGACCGGGAAATTGTACCTGTGACGTGGAACGATCGAGTCGATGTCCTTTCCCTTTTTCCGCGCGATCCATCGCGTATTAAAAATTTTATAGTGACATGACAACACAAGGGAAAATACGATGATGCGCGTTCGTTGTTTGATTCAATATCTCACGTGCTTTGATTCAATATCTTTCATCGATCGATATTTATATGCAATGCATTAGTCTTCTGTCTTACAACTAGAGAATTCGCTTAACAAAATAATCCTAATTAATTATAACAGGCGGAAAATTAGGAAAACACGATAGATCGCGAAGAAGCATGATTAACTGAATGATTAGATAAATTTTTAAATTATTCCCGAATTTTCCCCTCCTTCCTTTCATTTCGTGGCATTTTCTCATCGCCCTTGTCACGCAGCTTCCATTGATGCCGAATGCACAATGTTCACAGAGGCTTTGTATGTCCCACATCGTGTGACCTTCGGCGCCGGACACAGACCTCCCCGAGAATCCCCGACACATCCACCAGCACAAGGCATTATAAAACACACACAAGCTTGCGATGTTCGATGTTGGACTGCTTACTGGTTGTACCCCCGCCGCTATAATGCGACGAAAGTACGATCGTTGTGAGAATAAAAAAAAGATATATATTTATATAGATATATATTATTACCTGAAAATATATCAAGCGTCCTTCCTCATAGTACCTCTCGTAATATTAGCATGATAATGTCCAATTAAGCGATATATAATATAGTTTATCAATTCAGCATATAAAATGTAGTATGAATACATAAAATAAGTGAGAAGAAACCCATGTGTACATGTGTATATTATAGAAGTGATATAGACAAGAAAAAAGATAAGATAATGATCATATATACATATAAGATATATATAGATATATTAAATAATGAAAAAAAAAACGATTTATATACAAAGTTGTAAGAGATAAGGTTGGGTGTTTCTGATTTACATTGTTCCTTTTCATTCGCACATCAGATGCGATTAGAAGAGAAGGAATGGAGTTAGGCGTGGTCCGTTCGCATAAAATACCGAGACGATATGGAATTATTCGGCGATTAAAATTAAAAAAATTGTGTTTCCTGATCTGAGCTTGGAATGCGCTGCCATGGAATGGAATGGGGATGCTTGCACCTTGGGCGAAAAAGGCTTTCACGCACTGCCGAGTTATCGATGTTTGGTGAGATGCTGCGCAGTGTACGCAGCGAACGACCCACACGGAACGCTTTTGCTCAGTGTGTCTCGACTCCGAAAGAGATTGGCTTCTGCTTGGAAGATTTACAAGGGAGAATAACGAAAAAGTAAAATGAGTACCTTAATTTTCTTTCATCGATTTCCATCGTCCTCTTTCCCTTTACATTTTTTTAATTGTTCGTTTGCGGAAGCATTCCGCCTTCCTTTAGTGAGTTTGATGTTTTGGCTCTTTTTTTCTTCAGCGTATTTCGAAACGCTGGTAATAATATTAATTTATGAATTGAAAAGCCAAGTGTATATAAAGGAGCAACTATACTATATTTCATATAAAGTATCGTAATTTTTTGTACTCTTGATTATTTAAGGGATTCGAAGTAAGATTTATATTATCTATGTAAAGACGACTCTTTATACAGACTTGCTCCTTCAATTATTTTGTCAATTTAAAGGTGTCAGTGGTGCATTATTCGTTTCATACGTTTGCACTGCGAGAAATGCGCATGCATGATTCCATATCGAAGGTTTGCACGTAAGATGTAACAGACCGATGTTCATATGAATATTGTAATTCATTACTTGCGCAAGTGTGCGGATTGTTTCAAAGTTAGATATTAATGATGCGTTGTCATAAGATGTTAATATAAAATTGAAAAAAGATATTGACATAATATTAAAGACTGATATACAATAATATTATAATTGTCTCTATTACATGGCTTGAAAGTTATCGACTTAATATGTAAGAAATCCTGCGTTGATGAGCAAACATTGCCTCAAGATACGCAGTTTTCGAATATATAGACTATAGACCAATCGTAAAAAAAAACGAATTATTACACGTACACAATTCATTCGTTTATTCATTGGATAATAAAGAGGATTTTTAAAAAAAGAGTGCAAAGAGGAATATCCGATTGTGCACGACCAATCAAGCAATCAACTAAGACTTGGATAATTAGATCTTTAGACTGATTGATAAATATGAATGAAGATCATTGTTAGAGTATTTTGTCAAGTTTTACTATCTTATTTATAGTTTTAGAAAATAGTTTGTCGAAAAATTTGCAAATCAAACCTTTTTAATTTTTTATAAATATATATATTATCTCTTTATTTATAAATACTATATACATTTTTTTATATGGACATAATGTAAACGGCAATGTAAAACGAGAAAATATATAAACTATTCAGTAAAACTTTTGTAAGGTTCTCAATGTGAAATATTCAACGGGCTAGTTAAAACTAAATGCGGATGGTATTGTGTCAGTTTCATAGGAAATTAATTTCTCATTGAAACTATATAATTAGTTAATTAATTGTGCACAAGGCACAGATTTTCCTTCGTGTGATGCTAATTAATTAAATAAATCTCAATTTGAGATTTTTATTTTAATATCCCTTTCTCTTTATCTCTCCTAAATATGTCCTGTGTACCCTAGCTAATTAATTTCCATGAAAAATATTAATTTATCTTGATATTTTTTATTAAATTCACTTCTTGCTTGGATTTCCTTTTCGAACTAAAAAATAATCTCAAGGTTATATTTGAATTTTTCATGAAAGACTTTTAAAAAGACGAACACTTTTACATCTCGAACGTTTTTTTAAAATTTTTAAATGGTAATAACGATTTTTTAAAATTGGCCTTTGTTGAACTTTGACCCTAAATAACTTGAACGGATCAATGCATCAACCTTTTGGTTTACACCAAAAAATTTTTTGTCCTTTTAAACGATATACAATATAAGAGGTTTCATTTGACATTTTTGAGTTGGAAATCCCTCTGGGGCATTCTCTTGGAATAGCAACCCTCTCAATCCTCTTAAAAGAGTAAAAATAATCCTCCCTTGAAATGATCAAACAATCATGTATCTCATGATTTTTCATAATTTTAAACCGTTTCTGAAATGCGGAGGGGGGGGGAGGGGGACAGACTTTATACACATACATACATACATATATATATATATATATATATATATATATATATATATATATAAATTAATTTTTGTAAATAATAATTAAAAATTAATTTTCAATTATTATTTACACACATTTATTTATTATTTATTTTTTTACTATGATAACACATATAATTATTTTTGTAATGTCAGTCACGAAAGTGTCGAATTTCGATTGCTGTTTAGTGTGCGAAAGGTGGCTTATTTCTCAACGATTCAATGTATGCCTTAATTTACCGCACAAGTGCGAGAAAAACATCTTTATGACTTACATTACTGCACAGTTTATAAAGTAATTAATTATTATATAATATTATCGTTCAATAAATAAAATTATTATCTTCAATAAATAATATTTATCTTATTATATGCAATTTCGTCTTTTCGCTATAACTTTAAAACAATCGAACTTTAGAGCATACGTGTATTAAGACTTTTTGATTTAGAATGATTCCATGAGTACAAAGTTTCAGTGGACATTACGTTGCAAGATACCCTGTATACACACACACATACATACACACACATATTTATATATATACATATATAGTAATTATTGCGAAAAGATTCCTTCATCAGTCTCTTTAATTTTTTTCACGTATGTTGTAATGAATATAGTCCTAAACCATGTTGTAGACTCTTCTAGTTTTTGAGATACGATGCTTTATACTTTATTATAGTATTGTTTTTTTATATATTGTGTGTGTGTGTGTGTGTGTTGCTTAATTAATAATTATATTTAGTTTTTCGTATTGTGTGTTATATCTCTTTATTGACATTTTTTTATGTACGTTATCTTTTTTTCTTTAGTATGATTGTTACATTATTGTCAACAGATTGCATTTATTTCTGCCAATTTTTAAATAACTTTTGAAATGCAACTATATAGGTTTTTAAATCAAAGAAAAATATATATTTTATTATTGTAGGCAGACGATTAATTTCAGTTTTTTAAATTAAAATTATATTTAGCAATGACTTATAATATCATTTTATTTTACAATTGTATTAGTAAGAAAAACTGTCAATAAGATTGAATATTACAATAATAGAAAAATAAAATCTACACTTTATAAGAAAACAACAACGAAAGAAAATAAGTTTGCTATCATACACGTGTTCGATGAAGTTATTCTGAAGCCTCATGAGTTTTCCTAATGATGGAGTTGTTCTTTCCAAGATTATTACACTTGCAAGTTATTGAAGTTTACATACAAAAGATATAAGATCAATGGCATGAGGATAAAGTCTAATACTTAATCTCAGAAATAAATATTTTTATCGGCTCTCAATATAAAGAATATAAGTATGCTGCCTTCTAAGCCGGGCAATAGAGCCAAGGAAACGAAACGAAAAATTAATTAAACGGAACTGTATCTCAATTTGAGATCCCAAAGTTCCACATATAAATTAATTTCGAAACTTACATATGGAGAAATAAGCGAGAAAAATATAGGTCCGAAAAGTCGCTGAAGCGGGAATCGAACCCGCGTCTTTCACTTTCCGGGCGACTGCTTTTACCAACCTCGTTTCGTTTCCTTGGCTCTATTGCCCGGCTTAGAAGGCAGCATACTTATATTCTTTATATTGAGAGCCGATAAAAATATTTATTTCTGAGTTTATTCACGCCTGGGCTAATCACGGCGGTATTTACTAACATCTACTTAAAAGGCAAATGAAAAATATGGGATCGAAAGGGTCTGAATAGCTTAGTTGGTAAGAGCAGTCGCCCGGAAAGTGAAAGACGCGGGTTCGATTCCCGCTTCAGCGACTTTTCGGATCTATATTTTTCTCGCTTATTTCTCCATATGTAAGTTTCGAAATTAATTTATATGTGGAACTTTGGGATCTCAAATTGAGATACAGTTCCGTTTAATTAATTTTTCGTTTCGTTTCCTTGGCTCTATTGCCCGGCTTAGAAGGCAGCATTCTAATACTTAATGTTTGAATCTAACACGATGATGTCCATGAACGTTTATATTTAATAAAATTAATAAAATATATATTTAAAATTAATAAAATATGTATTTTGACATTTTTCATACGCAGCAAAATATTTTTATTTGAATTAAAAGAATAAATATCTAATTTTTCTACATATATGTTATCTATTTACTTTATTAAGTTGAATTAATTATCCAATTAATATTTAAGTTTTCAAGTCCCTCCTTGTAGCATTATGATTATTCCACTGAATGAATTTTATTTCTAGTCTCTTTTAATTGTATCGCTCAATCGATTCTATTTTATTTTTCTTCTTTTACATTATTCTGCTTTTCGAGGTGATCTTCACTTAATTTGTGACGTCGGGAGTTAAATCTTATGCGAGAGCTTCGCGATTTGAATTTCGAAAGAAATGTGATTACGATTTTTTTCACGATACATTATATCGCTTCCAATTTTATCTTTAGGTTTATTATTATTAGATTTATTGTTTCTAATTTATGTTTTTATATTAATTTTTATTAATTTATTTATGTAATTAATTTTATTATTTATTTAAATAAATAAATAAAATTTTAATTTTAAGTGTTTTATGAATGACTTATTATACATATATTTTATGAGAAAATTATTTCTTCTGAGATAATATTATAATACACAATAATTTACAAATATGTCAACATTTACATTATTGAGACAATATCATCAATTATTTAAAGCTTATGTAACATGAGATTTATGCGAAAATCCTGATAGTTTGAATAATATTCCGAATAGCAGTATCCATATCATAATCAGTAAATGAGCTTGTTATAGAACAGAATATCAAAATGTTGGTACGACACTATTGTTATAAATAATTAATCACGAAAGCTATTAATACAGTACATATAAATATATATATATATATATATGTATATATGTATATATGTATATGTAGCGAGATATTCAGCAAATAGTTGACATGTAACAATTCCTATCAATGATATTATAATTAGATTGTAATATGTAAAAATCAATATTGAAGATATATTTTTCGATAAATTTAAAATTGACTTTATAGAATAATTCTAGTAAAGAATTGAAGATAATATACGGCTTCTGCTTAAATATATGAATGTTTTATAATGCGAAATTTCAGCGTTTATACAAAGTGATCTGAACTGTCGCTTATTTTAAAATAAGCTTTTACATAAGCATATGTGTTCTATTTATATACAAGATATTTAGCGTAACGATCCGCATGATTTTTGAGACGTTTCGGACAGTTTAAAAAAAGCTTATATGGTGAAAATTAATCTATTTTACGCAATCTGTCACATATAATAAAAAATTTGAAAAGAAAATGTTTTAAATAAAAATATCAATGTTATTTTAAATGTTTTAAATAAAACCACATTTTTAAATATATAAATTGATTCCTCATAATATTTTGCACAAAAAGTTATGAGAGTAGGATGGTCAAAAAGTGAATAGTTTACGAAATATTTTATACTTTAATTTAACATAATCTTACATAAATTATAAAATATATATATATCGTAAAATATTCATTTTTCAATAATCTTGCCTTAATATTTTTATGTACAAAATAATGAAAGGAATCATTGGTGCAAAGAAAATACATAGTATAAATTGATCGCATCCGGTAATATCACTTTTTAATGAATTATTGATGATTATCGTATGTGTAACTAGGGGAATCAATGCGGTTTAAAATTATTATTAATTCTTCGATAATCAACTATAATTCTTCAATTATTGAAAAATTTATTAATGTATAATATGTAGTATCAGTATTCTTTTAGCTTAAGATTTCGTATAGGAATCTATGAAATCAAATTACCTTTAACCTAGAATTTTATATTGTTTTGGAACTACTATAAACACAGTTAGAAGTCAAATCTAATTCTGTGGAAAGTTTCTCTACTTTTATCGTCACGTTTTCTTTGTCAATATACTATTGATATAATTATAATTACGATGGTTTTCTTTGGGTTAACTAGTTTAGCAGTTCCTTTTGTATCACAATCAAACAATCATTTTCTTTGTCAATTCGTAACATGATAATTATTGTGATCTTTCGATAAAACAGGATATACTATTATACAGGGTTTAATCGATTACTTGTACATTTTTTTTGTTTTTGATTGTACAACGAGCAAAAGTTTCAGACAAAAGTTGTTTCATTTAAAAAGGGAATATAAGATGGTGCTATTGATTTTTTAAAAGACTGCTGTTATTTGAAGGTTATTTATATAGTTGTTTTTCTAACAATAAGTGAAACAATTATATTGTTTATATAAATTGATTCTTCGTAATTTTCAACATAAAAAGTTATTAATGAGGATAAGATGACCAAAAAATAATAGTTTACAAGATATTTGATACTTTATGATAATTTTATGTAATTTTACATAAATTATTATGAAATATTTCGTAAAATATTCATTTTCGACGATCTCATTTCAATACTTTTATACATAAAATAATGAAAATAATTAATTGAGATGTAAAAGAACACATAATTGTTATTAAGAAGTATGTAGTTATTAATTGCAATTTAACATATTTCTTCTTAACAATTATTTTTCTTTACACCAACTGATCTCTCTCTCTCTCTCTCTCTCTCTCTCTCTCTCTAACTATAAATTGCATAATAAATTAAATACTTAAACGATAATTAGATATACTCTCGATTGACACGAATACAAATCTTGGTGACTTGTTTTATGTCTTTGCGTTGTCGAGTTGGTAACACAGTTTTCAACTCCGATGATACGGAAGGCCATCGCAAGCTTTAAAGTTGTTCTAGATTACTATGCGAAACTTAGTTTTGAACGCTTTCCACTGGATGGCGTACTATGTTTCCGTTTTATCCGTTTCAGTCTTATCATTCTTATATCGAAGACTGCAAAGTCTCCGATATTTCTAACAAAACTCGAAAGTTCTTTCTCTTGCAAAATATTTAATTCAATCGTTTATATTTTTATGTCTAATCAAATAATATAATTATATTTAATTTCATGAATATTGAAGATATAATTTTTAATGTAAAAAATATTCAATGAAAAATATCCCAAAATAAGACATATTGATATTACAGCATATACTTAATAGTAGTAATGTAATATGCATTTGCGAGAAAATATATATTGTCGTTTTGCGCATCTACATTACTCGATTTAGGCTTGGTCGACTGACTTATCTCTTAAGTTGCATTGGGAATTACTTCGTGTTATGCGAGGTCAGGTCAAGATATTCCCGTAACGAAGATATCCTTAGCAGGCATCGATACTATAAAATTATGGGAACTTGAGCCATTATGGCTATTAAATACCACATTGCGTCATAATGAATTGATGCTCGCAAATGTTGGTAAAATTAAATATTTAGTTAAGTCTTTTCTTCTAAACATCATATTAATAAATTAAAGATTATTCAATTAAAGATATATCGGAAGTCTACGTTTATCCCAAGTGAAAAGACTCAGAGGTTAAACAGCTTTTTGCTTTCACGCCGTATTTGCTTTTATATTCGAAAAGATTTCATGAATTGGAAGCTCTTTGCGAAGAATCTTTTCCTGAGGATAGGTGATGGATTGCGGAAGTTGAATCCAAAAACTGGATTCATAAGCATCGCCGAAGATTGCATTGTTTTTATTCTTTTATTTATATTTACAATTATATTTTAATAATATGAATTTATCTTATCAAATTATATTTCTGAATTTGCAATTATTTATTTGTTAATTTCATTATAAATTATGAAAAACAATATTAAAGAAAGCTTTACGATATGAAATAAATCGAATACATTTTTGCAATTTGCGCACGAGTATAAATCTTTATATGTAATGTGTTCTGATCCTATTTACTTTTAATTCGAGTTACTCCTAATCTGAGTTACTTTTTGGTTTGTTTTTGGTAGTTAAATTTTAATTCCAAAATTAAAATTTCATACTTATTTTAGAAGCAAAATTAGTTAGGACAAAAACTTAGAATTTTTTGTGGTTATTATTTGTTTCGTATTAGGTAATGCTATATATATTAATAATAGCACGTTTATATTTAATAAGACTAAAATGATGATTGAAATTATTTGAATCAAAAGTATCGAATTCCAAAGAAGATATTTTTCTAGGTTAAGAATTGAATTTGGTTCTTGAAATAAAGTCCTTGCTATTTTCGTTCATAACGGCATGGTATATGAATAGCAGACTCTGTATTACTATTAACGTGGAACCATTTTGGATCTTTCCATATCATAAGGATTCCACTCGAAACCCTGAAAATTCCCAAAAATGAACGAGGGAATATATCTATGATAATAACCAGCAGGTTGGAGGGAAGGAGGACGACGATCGTCAAGTACAACAAAGGAGAATTGAATCGGCATAGAAGAGCGGGGCACCCCTGGGAATCCTCTAAAACGACTGACCGAGAAACGTTTGAGGATAATACGAGGAGCTACTGTTCGTGGCGAGGGTGGATATCGACTTCGATGGCCGCGAAAGCCCACGCACGAGCAGCAGCACGAACGGGTTGGGAAGGGGTGTGATGTGGGGTAGAAGGTGGATTTCATCCTCTCTCTCTCTCTCTCTCTTTCTCTTTCTCTCTCTCTTCCGTACCAATACATATATATTCGCATCCACACGAATATGTACAACACAGTCGAGGCACATTGCGTGTACGCGAGAGCATACACACATACATAGACACCCAAACAGGAGTGCACCGCGCGACCCTAGGGAGGAACGGGGGTTCGCAGCCACGGTGGCGCCTCCGCAGAACGTTGCGGCGGTTCCTGACGGTGATCCTCGGCCGGCGCCATCCACTGTACCTTCGCTATCCTGACCATCCCATCGGGGGTCGTTTCCGATCTCTCACCCTGCGTGTACCGTCGGTGAACGCGGAGACCACGCAGGATCCGTTCGTGGAGTTCGAGGCGAGAGTGTCTCCGTTGAAGCTCTCGAAGTTGCCGCCTAAACGCGCGTCGCTGCGTCTCTCCCTCTCTCTCTCTCTCTCTCTCCCTCCTCACTTCCATCATTTCTCCCGTTCCTAACTTCCCCGCCGCCACCCTACCCAGTCGCTTCTGGTATCTCGACACGCACCCACTCGGATTCAGAAACCCACTGGGTTCGCTGCCGAAACGTGCTCACTTCGTGGACCAGTCTACTCCGTCGCGTTTCCGGTAGTGACCTGTGACAGTGATCGCCCATTCTCCCTCCCTTCTCTTCTCGCGTGTTGGATCCGGACTCCCACCCGTCTACTTCTCTATCCGGTTCCCTTTTAAGCAGCCCCGTACTCTCCACTCCGGTAATTGACAAGGTTACGCAAGGCAGTAGCCAGAGCAACGTGGTCTTCGAGGTGGACCCGGCCGTGAACAACTGAACGACATAGCGTGTGTCGCTATTGGTGTGTCGAGTGATTCAATCTCATCCCGAACCCCAATTCTCCTATCCCGTTCTCAGATCTCGATCCACGGGAATCTATGAATCTGCTGATTTATTGTGATCCAGATCAAGTGATAAACACAATTTAACTAAACTCGTGGATAATGATTCGAATGGACTAACATTCGAATGGATAAACCTTCATCGTAATGGGCACGATGAGCAAACTTGCGTTATTACGTCATTCGTCGTTTCTCTTCGAATACGGTAATGTTTAACTATGATGCCAAGTTTGTCATTTGGGATGGCGAGTCAAAACTAATTGATTGCGAGACTTAATTCTTGATATTCTTGAAATTGGTCCCTTTGGTGAGCCTACTCAAGTATGTGTTTATTTGGGAGGCTTCTGATAGTCAGGATTGAGTGTACACTTTACATAGGATGATTATCGGAGATTACGTTTTATGAATCCTTTTCAATTCTTTCGATCCAAAAAATTTAAAGATTTAAGTTGTTTTCATAGATTAAACCGTAATTAGATTAACGATTAAAAAGATGCGGCGAATTTTTTTGATGGTTCCAACAAGAAATCCTATTTTTAGCTTGCATTTTAAAGTATTCGATTTTCAATTGTTAATTAAAAAATCTCCGTATTTAAAAGCCGAAATTCTTCAAAGTAATGTAAACAAGTCGAATGTTGCAGACCTATTTGCTATCAAAAAAATTGTAAGAGAGTTTTTATTTTTGTTTGTACGATCTTCTAGTCCTCGTATTTCTATTTAATATTTCCTCTTTCTTCTTTCATTATTTTTCCCATTCATGAATCTTGATATGAATAAATCAATCAAATATATTTGGCGGAGGAACGTGATTAAAGATGGATATATTTATAGCAACAAGATCAAACAGCTTTGCAATATCATTAATTGAGCAGCCGTGCAAATAAATTTTCTGGATCGTCTTCCTGTCAAACTTGCCAGTGATAAAAGAAGACTTAGGCGACTCAACACAACTTGACACAATAATTTTTATCTCAAATTATATGAAACCAAAAAGATCATCCTGACATCAACTCTTCTAAAATACATTTAAAAGAGCTAAAGAAAATTCATAGATCACAGGATCAAATAATCTTAAAAGCTCATACACATCGTGGACTCGTCTAAACTCACCCTGAAAAGGATTTCCGAGTGGTATTACGCATTACGTCACGGTCGTGTGACATCATCGAAGAGAAGCGCTTTCTCTCTCTCTTTTCCTCTCGCTTCCTTCCTCTCTCGCTCTCTCTCTTTCACACATCCATTCTCTTCCTCTAGATTTCCCATTCTCGAGCACCGCGAAAGAAGTAAAGATCAATTCGCTACACCGAATTGTTTTAATGACACTTGCGCAAAGTAATTTTCGTGCGACCGTCACGATGAAAAATGCTCAGTGTTTCGTTTCCGCGCTCGATCACTCTCCATCATCGGGCGGATTTCAAAATGCGGATTTGTCCCGGTAATATTTCCGGTAGCGATGTGAAAATGGAATACTCGGGAGGCGACGTCGCCGGCAATTCCGCTACCGTCATTGACAAATGTGCGACCGTTCCGTATTGTGACAGTGTGAACAGTACTGTATAAATAAGTGGATAAAACTCCCCTGCTAAAAGAGTCCTGCGACGTGTGCGTGTGGGCGGCAGCACACGGGCCTCGGTGGTGGTTAGACGCAACATGCGGGAAGGTACAATAGCGCGAGCCGCCACGGCGATCAGCTGGGCCATCGCCAGTTAGCCGCTGTACTTTTCTCTCCTTCTCTGTCTATCTATCTTATATGTTCTACGTATGTATATACAGAATATCCCAAAACTGTTGCATTTCTTCTCATTTAGCCCAAGATTCTCGGATGTGTTTTGAAGCTGATCTATTCTTTGCCAAGATTTTATTTCGAATCCTTTTATGCATTTTGTCCTGCGTATGTATGTGTGGGTGTGTGTGTGTAGGTGTAACAATTATACTTTTTGGAAAATTTTTAGTTCATTTTTAATCAGTTTTCTCGACATTATATAAATGTGATATCTAATTATAATAAAATTTTAATTAATTATTAGATTATAGACTAATGATACATATGTATGTATATATAATAATACCTAATAATTGAATTTAAATTGGAAACTTTTGTGTTTGTAATTATGCTTCTTTCTTTCAAAGTTCTTGTTAAGGAAAAAGTCAACTTTAATCAAAGAATCTACGGCCAAAAGAAAATGCGATAGCTCTGAGACATGCTGTATACAAAATGTCCTGTAACAGGAGGAAAATATAAAAGATAATGGTGTTTTCGCAGAATTCTCTATTTTAGTCCGCGAGGTGTTCTCTATAAACTCTATAATCTCTATAAACATATATGTTCTAAAGTATAAATTGTTTCAGAATAAAGTAACTTCTTAGTTCTTTACGAAATGTGTTTATTGTTCTTGGGCTGTTACTAAAAGTGCCCCTCGCTTCTTTTAATGTTCTCTCAATAACACATAATGAGAATAGATAGATAGAGGAAAAAAATTATATAATTAAAAAAAATAATTATCAGACAATATTACAGTAATGTAAAAATACTATTATTTTTGTAATTATATGATTCATACGGAAATAGAATTATTTACAACTATCTACAAATAATTATGTAATAATTAGATTTTATGATTTTTAAAGTAGCTATATTTTACATTTGTACAAAGCTTTGGTACTGAAATGAGTTGAAAAACTTATAAAGTTGAAATCCTGTTACAGGTCATTCAATATATAGGAAAATTTGGAGATACCAGCAAAATTTTTTATGTTAAAAATCGAAATTACGTTAGAAAATAATTAAAATGATAATAATAAATAAAAAATATAAAATCTATTGTTTCGCGAAAAAAATTATTAGAAATATGTTGCAACTCTTTTTTTATTTTCTATTAAATAAATAATAAATTATAAATTTTTCTTAAACATCCTAATTGAATTTCAATTCAAAGTTGAATCAAAATAGAACTTATTGCAAAGCAACTGCAAAGTAAATGTTTTCTGATATGAAATTTTATTCGCCTTTTGAATATATTGTCTTGTTAATCTTAAAGATATTTTACAATATATATATATATATATATATATATATATATATATACATATATAAATTGATTAAATATCGATTGACATAAAAACCGAAATTGAACTTTTATTATTTATTTAAGTAAAATAAAACTCAAATTGATTTTCTTTATTTTAATCAGTCATTTCTTTTAATTCTATATAATATAAAATTTTAAGTGGTAATTCCGAATTATTCTATTTATACAAATATATATGTATATATATATATATATATATATATATATATATATATACACATATATGTATATATATATATTTGTACATATAAAAAACTTCTCTCTATTTATTTCTCTCTCATTACTACTCTTACTATTTGACTTACTATTTAACCTTTACATTTTTTCCTCTGTTATTGCGCTAGTCCATTCTAGAGAGTATTTTTAAACTTCTCACTATTCTCACTATTCATCTTTCTCTTCGGCTCTGTTCGAAATAGTTAAAAATTAATATCGACACTAGAATAAAATTAGCAAAACCTTTATATTTAAATTTATTAAGTAATTATTTAGATAAATTTAGATTAAAAAGAGTTTTTACACACATATATATGTATGCATTGTATATGTGTGTATATAAAATAACAGTATTTATTATTATTAGTAATAAACAAAAATAAATATAAAATAAAAAATATTTATTGTTAGTAATAAATTATTAGTAATAAATATTTGCAATTTTTTATTATATTAGATTTTATTATTTTTATTATGTAATCACATTTTACTATTAATTTTGTATTATTTTAAAAGTTAGTGCTTGGAATGAAAATCTTTTCTTATTTAATTGTTCAAAAAAACTGCTATAATATTTTCATCGCAAATTTTGGGACACCCTGTATATATATAAAAAAATAGTATTATGTGAAAATGAGTAAATCTCGGTGTCGAAAAGTCTATCGAATCTGTCCGTGATTCTAAACTTCGAGCAGGGTCGCGACCTTCTTGTCCTTCTTTCTTATCTCTTTAGTTATTCTATAGCTCTATTCTGTCACCGCATGCCAAACTAGAGGACTCACCGCTCCGGACTGCTCCCTCTGCGAAAAAGCGACAAAGAGGCCGCCTCCATGCAACATGCAGATGATCCTGGTTGCTGGCGGGTGAGTCCATCATAGTATCCCGCAGCTACACATGTACACATATACACGATATAGTTCACACGTGTAAGTAGTCTGATTTTCCATTATACTATATTTCCACTTCCCACAGAATTTCATTCTTCTTCGTCCATTTCTTCTTTCCTTTTTTATCCGTATTTTCGACACATGTTTAATATTAAATGCGGTTTTCCGGAGTCCAAGAACCTTTGCCGAATTTTAATTGAAGCTTAATGAAAATATCTTATCCTGATGATATATATTCCTTTCTTAAGAAACTTGCAAGCTCGTTGATTATAGCATTTCCATGATGAATGATTCTTTAAATAATTTTGCGATTTCCTGCTTTTAATGAAACATGTTTGGAACATGTTTTTAACAAAGGTGGCGTATGTCGACGAGTAGGGCAACACCCTTTTGGGATTCGTTCTGTTTATGGCATTGTGTACGATGCAAGATGTAAAAGAGAGGATAATAAGCTCACATGTGATAAAATTTTCTAGTTATCATCACGCAATTTTTGTGATGAAATTAACATCCAGTTTTTTTTTATTTTGAAAGCACAGAACTGAGAATCAGTTCTTGAATAGTGCGACGAAAGTTAACAACAAACAAGATTGTGGAAGGATAATATAATTATATTTGTGTTGAAAAATTTATATTCTTTTTATAGTCAATAAACACAAAGATTTCAATTTTTTAATACTTATTGTTGGCTTTTTGGAATAAAAAAAATTAAGTTTTAATTCATATATAGATATTCTATCTTTATATTTTAGGATCTTATATTTATGTGTTCTAATTTTAAATCCTTGGGTTGTGATATCCCTGAATTAATTTTTGGATTTTTTTTTACATTCTTGGATTTTATAATTTTGATAATTATTCTTTAATTTTTTGGATTTGAAATCGACATATAAGCTTTCACTTTCAGAATTAATAATCCACACAAATTGCATTGAATTATGATTATCTTAGACAATATGATGATATTTCTGAATAAATTGAATTAATCTCACTCGCCAAATCGCTCGTACAAGATGATCCGTCTATCATGCATATTCAATACATAGTACGCTTAATATACCTTAAACAAGAGAGCAATTAAGGATCGATATTGCAATACGCTGAGTGCACAGCGATAAATTAAAATTTGGCAAAAAAATACGTTGTTTCAAAAAGAATCTATTGTACCTTTAACGCCAAATTTAAAAATGTTCAGTATTTGTTTTTAAATAAGATAAAAGAGAGGTAGAAGAGGAAGACGTTAATGGTTGTTTGTCTATTTTTGTCTTTTCTATTTCTTATCAATGGCGATAAAGATCTATTTACACGTATCCGTGACGTATCAGTGTCGTATCCGTTCAGTTCCGTGATTTTTCGTCAGTATCAGTGAAAAAAAATATTGAACAAAGGAACGATATTTTTTTACTGATACTGACGGAAAATCACGGAACTGATCGGATACGGCACTGATACGTCACGGATATGTGTAAATAGACCTTAATAATAACCAGATGCATTTGAATGTACAATTTATGTATTTTTCTTCACTTATGTGTATTTAAACCACGGTCTTACATACAGGTCTGGAAATTCTCGTGGTGGGAGTGTTGCAGTTATTGTGACCGTTGTCACAGTAAACAACACTTTTTGATTATGATGAGCTCTATCGGTCGATAAAACAACTACGAAACGTCACGCGATATACATAAGTTATTAATAAATATAAATTAAATATAAATAAATAAAAATATATATAAATTATATTAAATTTTTATAAATATTAAAATGCCGAATTTATCCTTAATAGCACAACATATTCGAAAGATATTCAAAGAATATTCAGAGGATATTCAGAGGATATTCGAATATCCTCAGGATGTTCTCTGAACGTCTTTGGAATATGTGTGCTGTTAGGGATGTATCGTTCCAAAGTGCAAAACAGGCTATAAACAATGTAAAGATAAATTATCAGTGTTATTTAAAGTGCCAAATGACGAAATAATTCGCAAAAAATGGGAAGATGCTATTCCTGGAATAAATAAAATAAAATATATACAATAAGATATATATATATATATATATATATATATATAATATATATATATATATATATATATATAAGATAAAATATATACAAATAAATACATTTGAATAGCAAAAAATTAAAATATTGATTTATAATATTATATTTCATATTATTTATAATATTATTTTTAATATTATTTATAATATTACTTATAATATTATTTTTAATATTATTTTTGAATAAATAAACATTTATTTATAATGTGTAAACATTTAATTTTATTGTTATTCGATACATCTGATATTAGTATATTATCATTATATCTGAGTGTGAAAAACATTTTGTTCTATACACCCTATAGATAACACTTTTCGATTTTAGCGCCCCAAGCGGTCGTGTCTCATTAAGAGACGCTACCCCCACCATTAAAAATTGAAGTAGTTTCCAGACCTGTATGTAAGACCGTGATTTCAACATATTTATCCAGAGTTGCCAATCAGTTGTTTGCCACGATTATGTAAATCATTGCATTTATATTTTGGCTGGCACTTATTTCAGTTTAGTTTCTTCGTCACGTAGGGAAGGGGGAGGGGGGAATCAAATGGGGAAATTTTAAAAAATATTATTAATCGCTATTGGCAGAAGTGCATCAATACGACATTCTTGTGCGTCTGAAGTTTCACATATTGTCCCTTATAATGAATAAAAACTTTCTGCTCTGAAACTTCATTGGTCTCAACTTTTAATTTCCTTAAACATTGAATCTACTTATTTATTTAAAAAAACATCTTTTGTTATAAACTTTTATCATAACTTAAATCATATTACTAAATTTTTTGTTAACAAAGATGCGTAATTGGATTATTACAGCTTTTTTTTAGTTTTGGAGTTTCTAACCTGTAAGCTCATATATGTATTTTATCATGTGAAAAATTGTCACCACTTTATACGACGCTGAATGAAACTCAATTTACACATCATTTCTTAAGAACGCATCAATCGCGAAAGAGGGGAGGGCCTCCCCCACGTAATTTCGAATACCCACGTGTCACTTTCTGAAGTGGGCCATCCTAATTATCGTAATGACGGATCGTCTGCCGAAGTTTCGAGGATTATTATAACTTCGCTTGCGCACCGTGTTAATTAAACTTTCTATAAAATAAACCGCGGTTCGCGCTTAAATTATGCTCGTTCGTTCGAGATATTGTTTTTCGTCGAAAATAATTTGGCGCGGCTCAAAATGATGTTCCACAATTAAATCAATTAACCTCACAAGTTTTGCCATCCGTGCGCGCGCGCGCGTGTGTATAGTTTTATATTATATCAATATATACATATATTTTCGTCCTCTTTTCCTTCCTATTTCCCTCCCTTTCTCCCACCCTTCCTTCCTGCTCTCTTTCTCTCTCTTCGTATGCATACAAAATAATAAAAAATTAATATATATACACACTTGCAAAAAAGAAATGGGCCATTTTTTAGCATAATTTTTTTGACATTTTTGAATTGCGATAATTTAGTAAAAAATCATCGTATTGAAATGAACCAAAACTTAAATTAAAGCTTGAACATTTCTCGTAATAACACAAAAGACCAAAATTGAATTATAAAAACTATTATACAAAATGGCGAACGTTGAAGATAGCCGTTGAAAAATGTTTATTTTAAATTTTTGCATAGCTTAGGGGAATCGGCTCCCAAGTATAAAAAATATGAGTTTTTTAAACTCATTATAATTTCCTAACTATAATCCATATTGTAATTTTTCTACAATTTTTTAAAATAAAGTTATTTTTGTGAAAAAAATTTTTCACAATAATTTGTTTCTAAATTGCAGATTTTTTACAAGAAAAGATATATTTTGAAGAATATGTTACAAAATACATCTTTTCTTGTAAGATTTATAAGTTAGAAACAAATTATCTTGAAAAATTTTTTCACAAAAAGATATTGTAAATGTAAACTTTAAATCTTTAAAACCTTTTTGCTGATAAAAAACAAAAAATTTACCGTTAATAAAAAATTTTAACAAATGTTACGGCAAATTTCTAAAGCTAGAGCGTGTTCAATTGTAAGAACGAATACACATTAACTTAACAGAACTTAATTGAATCAAATTCTATGAAACAATTACAGTAAATTTTAAGTTTATTATAAAATTGAATAATTAATTATAATTAAATTATTATTATTATTAATTAATAATAAATAACAATTTTAATTTATTGATAATAATTTTGGCATGAGTGAATATTATAAGCATTTTAATTACATCAGAAATCAAAAATTTCAAACTAATACACGACCTATCAACAACTTAACCTAATGTTTACATTCGTAACCATCAAGGTAATAGGAAAATTTAATGTAGAGGAAAAAATGTAGAGGTTCCATAGAATTTGGGTTTACTAATTGTAAGTTAATAAATAAATGCTCGTTTTTTTAAGATTGAACACATTGTATTTTTATAACCAGAGGAGAATACATATTTATATAAGCATTTTTATTTAAAATAATGTGTACGTGTAATAATCATGTCTTAGAATAGTGATTATTCTTTCTGAAACACCTTGTATATAATATATTTGTGTGTATGTAATCAATATTCATAGATTTTAAGCTAGTTCAATTTCAATTTTATTTACCGTTTATGTATCTAATAGTTACATTGCCTCTCGAACTCTATCCATTTCTAATCGATCGATATTATAGTTGCAATGTTGATGCAAGCGGGGGGTTAAAGTGTTGAAGTGCATCGGGGTATCGGAGACAACTTCAACAGACTATGCTGTTAAAAGCAGGATACAGGTAGTAGTCGAAACGATATATTTAAGGGGATAACAACCTCGGTCAATGCGGTTTAGTCGATCGCTCGCAATAATCGATCCGGTACTCTTGGTGTCCCGAAGTCCTTGACGAACCGAAAGACCCCGAAGATCGACCATTACCGCTGAGAACGGCGAAACACGAA